TCGGGTGGGCGTGTCCATCTGTGGGCGTGGTTTCTCTCCAGGCGGGCCCCACGAGGGGCTCTGGGGGTGGGTTCGGGCGGGGTTCGGGCGGGTTTGGGGGGATTTTGGGCGGGGGGGCGTGGTCCTGGTGGGGTGGGCGTGGTCCTGGTGGAGTAGGCGTGGTCCTAGTCGGGTGGGCGTGTCCATCTGTGGGCGTGGTTTCTCTCCAGGCGGGCCCCACGAGGGGCTCTGGGGGTGGGTTCGGGCGGGGTTCGGGCGGGTTTGGGTGGATTTTGGGCGGGTGGGCGTGGTCCTGGTGGGGCGGGCGTGGTCCCGGCGGGGCGGGCGTGCCCGGGGGCGTGTCCCCTTTCTGACCCCGCCCCTCCCGCAGCGCTGAACAGCCTGGACGGGGAGTTCAAGGGCCGCTACTACCCCCTGAAGGCGATGACGGAGCAGGAGCAGCAGCAGCTCATCGACGACCATTTCCTCTTCGACAAACCCGTGTCCCCGCTGCTCCTCGCCTCGGGCATGGCCCGGGACTGGCCCGACGCCCGCGGCATCTGGTGGGCACGGGGGGGGCGCTGGGGACCACTGGGGAGCGACTGGGGGCGACTGGGGAGCGACTGGGGGCGACTGGGGGGCGACTGGGGGCAACTGGGGGGTGACTGGGGAGGGGGATGCACCCGGGAGGGGAGGGAAGGGCACCCACATACCTGGATCCCACCTGGAGGGGGAGAAAGGGACACCCAGGAGTCTGGATCCCACCTGGGTGTCCCTGGGTGTCCCTGTGGGGGTCCCTGGGTGTCCCTGGGGGTCTCTGGGGGTCCCTGGGTGTCCCTGAGGGTCCCTGGGGGTGTCCCTGGGGGTCCCTGGGTGTCCCTGAGGGTCCCTGGGGGTCCCTGGATGTCCCTGGGGGTCCCTGGGTGTCCCTGGGTGTCCCTGGGGGGTCACCTGGGTGTCCCTGGGTGTATCTGGGGGTCCCTGGGGGTCCCTGGGGGTCACCTGGGTGTCCCTGGGGGTGTCCCTGGGGGTCTCTGGGGGTCCCTGGGTGTCCCTGAGGGTCTCTGGGTGTCCCTGTGGGGGTCCCTGGGTGTCCCTGTGGGTGTCCCTGGATGTCCCTGGGGGTCCCTGGGTGTCCCTGGGTGTCCCTGGGTGTCCCTGGGGGTGTCCCTGGGTGTCCCCCGGGGGTCTCACCCGGCGTCCCCCCCCAGGCACAACGACAACAAGACGTTCCTGGTGTGGGTGAACGAGGAGGACCATCTCCGGGTCATCTCCATGGAGAAGGGGGGCAACATGAAGGAGGTTTTCCGGCGCTTCTGCGTCGGCCTCAAGAAGGTGGGGA